GATACGTCTCATCGCATTCTGTTCTTGGAGGTAAATGGCATTTTTAGTAGAATCTGTTTTCACTTGGCAAACATTCCTCAATTTTAGCAGAAAGATCTCTACCTTCCTCAAATATTTTGTACTGGGAAACCTTTCTATGGTTTCAGTCTTTTTCAAAATCCCACTGCTAAGCAGGGGATAAAGAAAGAAACAGGATATCCAAGTAKAATATACAAAAATAGGAAGAAGTTTGTTTATCAAACACCAACCAGAGTCCTGACTTACAGAATATTCTCATTGTTTTTTCCTCTGCTATAAGATTTCTGACCCTGCTGTTTTGTTTTTCTGGTTGATTTATTCATGAGCTTTTTCTATCACTATGGCAAAGGCAAATGTCTTCTGGAAGGAAGACCATTTTCCCACCACACTTCCTCCGGGCCAGAGAAGAAAGGACATCAATTTATTGTCCTGACAAAGTTGGCCACCTGGACGGAGAGTCCCATAGTTTGCAGGCCAGAAGTGCAAGTCTCTGTTGCACTTGGGCAAAATTTGCTTGAGGAGCACATCATCTGCCACATCAGCAGCATTTACCACCCACCCGCTGTCTACCTTCTGCCASTAGTCTACAGCGGGTGCTTCAGCGGAAGATGAAGACCGCGCATAACAGGCCAAGTTTATCATGCAGTGCTTCAAATAATTTCCTTATTTSCACAGATTCTTTTTGTACCTTCAGTTGAGATATACTTCCTTTTTTTGGCTTAGTTTATTTTACTGCAAATATTACTTCTTTAGAAGTAGGAAAAAAGGCAAAACCCATGCAGAGTCAAAAATACATAAAAAAAAAAAAGTGGTGCATGTAAGTTTGAATATAAACTCCAACGTTTTGTCTCTGGAAGTAGCAAGGAGCTTCCTGAAAGTTTCTCAGCTAAAAGGTATCATATAATCAGACAATATCATTATCTGAAATCAAAACCTATTTAATTCAAGGAAATGTGAAACATTTGACTGGAAAAGGGAAGAACGCCCAGTTATCAAAGCACAGCACATGCTACTCTTCCGATAAGAAAAGTAACCTTCCTCACTTGTGCTATGTTCAAATTGTCTGTACTTAGGTAGAGAGCTCAGTACTTTACCATTAATCAAGATAACTTATAGAAATAAGGAWTTAAAAATATAAAATCAGAACGTAAGGTTTATGCATGTAAGCTCAAATAATTAGTATTCAAAAAACTTTTTTTTTATTATAGTCTACAAAYACGTTCAATTTAGCAGTCAGATTTAGACCAGTGTTACCAAACCTGAGTAACTAAAGTGCCTTTGGTCCCCAAATGGAGGAAAAAAGAGGACAACAAATTAAGAGAAAAAAAATATTAGTATTAACCATCTAGTTAGAACATAAACTAAACACATGAAAGTGGGGCAAGATATGGGAAAACATCAGGAAAGACGGCAGCAATTTAGTCATGTATGCATTCAAACAGAGAGATAACTGAAAATGCCTACTGAAGTAACTGCCTTGTGATTTGATTTTAAATACCCATTTAGAGTTCCATATTGACCAATTTAAAATACTGACTGAATACTCTGAAAAGTTTCAAAACACACAAAGAGATTGAAAGACATACGTTCTGTATTACCAACACATAAGCTTTTTTATTTAGTTGTACTTTTTGGTCATTAGATTGCAAGTGTTCAATGCAGTGACTCACACCACCAGGTTTTGTGTCATCCGAGACAGCTCCAAGTACAGAAAGCTCCCACGGGGGCCAAGCAGGAATGACCCAGGCCCTACAGTGGAGGGTTTATGCATTATATCACAAGTTCCTACTGAAAATGCCTCCTACAAACTATTTTTAGTAAAGCTATATAACATATTTACAGATGATTTCCCAGTGCCATAGAGTGCTATATTTGTATTCATGTTTTCAGTACTAAGAAACCAACAAGAGAAACCCAACTCACTTCACACCAATGAACATATCAGGCCAATCCTTCATAAGAATAGAAATCTGTAGGCTAAATAAGCTCAAACGTATTGGAGCTTAATCCCATTTATAACCACTTGCTGGAGAATGCCATTACTGCTCAGTTTTATGTAGGGGTACAGGTGGGGCACACAGACCCATATTTCTGACGGGTACTATCTGACTTCTGACAAGGGCAGTGGAAGTCTGTGCCACTATTTAAACTGAGATGGAAGTTACACATTGTGAATGAACTATACTGGAAAGTTAAATAGCAGACTGAAATATCAAAAGGAGAGATAGTAATACAACATTGCAAGTACCTCCCTCTAGACAATTAAAATAATGGAGTCAACGCATCTCTAAGAATCACGTTAGTCTTCAGAAGCACCTTTTTCTCTACACATCATCTCTATACAGAGGAAATAGGTAAATGTTTTAAGTTTCCTTTAAAAATGGTTGAAAAAAATGTTACAAAAATAAGAATGCATCCATATCTGCTTTTGATTTTGATACCTGCAGTGCACCTCATTCTCTGGAGTAGGTAGAGAATTGCCCTCAATATCTTGAGGGATTTTAATCTGTGTAATATTCTATTCCCTATCATGTTGCTATAGCTTGCAGAGTCTAGATGATATTCATATTTTCAAAAACGTCCTTTCACTATTGTTACGTAGGAAAAGATCAGTAATTAGTATAATGTTAACAGTAACAGTAATAACACTGAAGATATTTCTCGTTTGGAAAACAAAACAACAACAACAACAACAACAACAAACAGCAAGCTAAATGAGAAACACTGCTCTGTTTTATGTATTTACATCTCTACAGAAAGAAATATGCAGCTGGAGGGATTTTGGTCACATGAACATTCATGAAATTTTCTTCACGGGAGCCCTGTAAATCTTACCACTAATCAGGTAAAGCAACTTCTTTAATAACTTCAGAAAGTTACTGGCAAGGATTAGGACCAGCGATTGAATTTTGATTCTTTCGGACTAATTTAAAGAGGATGAAGCTTTCTCTTCCCTTGGAAGAACTTCAAAATTACAAATGACTGCCAAGACAAGCAACCTTTGCTGGGAAAGATAATGTTAAAAACAATGCAATAGGTCACTGGAAGTATTCTTCCTTTTTTTTTTTTTTTTTTTTTTTTTAATACAGGATCTTTTTAGAGACAAGGGTGATTGATGTAAGGTCTTTCATTTGAACAAAAGAAAAAAAAAACCCTAAAGTTCAACACATAAGGTTCTTCTCAAAGGAAGAATATTGTTAGGAATATTGATAGTTGGAAACTAATACTATAGAGGGCTGCAACATTTCTGTTCCTAATTCACAAGTATTTCTCCTGAGAGCCCTATGGTATGTCTCTAATTAAAAGAAAATCTTCCAGGTCTAATGCAAAGGGAGTAACAGCGCTGAATGACTTTTTAATCTATAATGGGAGGGAGCCTTTGGGACAGTTGCACACACTTGCACTGTGGTTTGTGTCATAAGCCTGGATAACATGTATAGAAAGTCAGGATGAGCTATTCCATATTAAATACAAAAAGAAAAAGAGGTTTCGGTAGAACAAACCAAACATAGTAACATGCAGGTTACATTTTAACAAAATGTATGATCAAATATATGTATGTTGCAAGATCATAGACCTTTCCAGTATTAATCATGCCATGCCATCCCATGTGGAATGGAGCAGTTAAAGTATTTTTTTTATTAGGATAAAGAGACTACATGGATAAAAGACTATGTTATATTTAAGGTCAAAACAACTTGCTGTAATGCCACTTTTGGAATCTTTTCTTTCATTACTTTGCTGTCATTGAYATGGATACCCCTAAATCATCATGCAGTTAGTTCCCCCCTCTCCCTGCCAATGTTTCGTTTCTTGCTTGCATGTACTCAGTGTAGGTACTAAATGTAAAAACCACACAGCTCAACAGCAGAGCTGCAGCTGGGAGTTTAAGGCTTTCTCATGCTCCATGTCAGTATGGCATGACATCACGGTATTTCTACGATCTTGAAACTTAAAGATGCTGCATTAAACAAGTTATTAAATTTGCAAATCCACATGCTCTACAATGGGAGAGAAGAGAGCTGAAGTTTACTTACATGCTCATGTACTTTTGTTCCAAGAAACCTTTGTTTAGTCTACAATCAGACCGACTGTGGGAATGAATGTGCTTTGGATGACAAGAGAGGMTGTTTGTACCCTACTTTGATGAATTCAGGCACATTCAGATGCTCGAATTAGACATTCAAAGCCAGTGGGGCTGAGATACTCTAGAAAAATGTGTAAGCAACAAATTAATCATTAATCATTGTACTATCTTACATTTCTGTTAATTAGTACCACATATGTGGAGCTAAGTACAAAAAAGTGTTCAAATGAGTAGGTCTACTTCCTTCTGATGAGCTGCAGAGGAAGGGAAAGCTTTTAAATCCTGTTATGAATTAGAATCATAGCTATATCCTCAAAATTATGAGGAAATGCTTTGAGACTGCAGAGAAAAAAAGAGAAGGCGTCAGACAATTGGAAAAAAAAAAAACAGCTTTAGGCTTCATCCAGCTTCTAACCTCTCTTTTCACATAGAAGGTGACACCCATTTGTGCCATTTCCTACAAGAAATTTCCATAAAGAGAAAGCACAAAACAAGACAAAGAGACTCACAACAATTTCTCCTGCCAGAAATTCACTTTTTTTTTTTTTYCCCCTGTGCTCTGTGTGGTTACATTCCAGGACTCTTACGGGAAGTAACTCCCAGGAACACATACTGAACTTCTAAAATGGGATGTGTGTGAAGTCTTTCACTTACACCAGAAAGTACTGAAAATACTTTGCACCTCCTCTGTTAACTCCAGATGTTACAGATTATTTTATAAAATACATTAATAAATCTCAGATCAGTGAAATTTGGTTGAGGAAGCAACTCACCAATAGTGGAACATGGTTCTTCAGCACTTACCAAGAGCCAGAAGTCAGATGCCAGGAAATCAGGAGCAATATCCGGAGCCTCTCCACACCACAGATTCCAGCTGCCTCTTACAGCTGCCTCTGACTGGCTTAAAGTTGACCATGAAGAATCTATTGAGTGGATTTATCAATGAAAGAACTGTACTCCAGAAGATTAAAAAAAAAAAAAAAATCTCATGTAGACTTGTAGACTTTAGATTTAACATTCATATTGTTTGGGGAAATTCTGGGGAATTTAAAATATTACACTTACAGAAAGGAGATGCAATGGAAAAAAAGAATTGACATTGAGATATACTTTTACACTGCTTGTAAGCTTAAGAAGCTTATTTACAACAAATATACATTTTTGAAGTCTGAAAAGTCTCAGAATATTACCAATATCATCATCTTTTTCAAACACAGATGAGGCTCGGAGAGAAGCTTACATTTAAACTAGCAAAGGTATAAACCATTCACAGCCAGATGTTCCATTCACAATATACTTCATTACACCATGGCAAAAATTCACCATGTCTGCCTTTTAATACACTCACAGCTCACCCCATTTGCTGCTTTTAATAGAATTATCTGCAATATACTTTGCTAATAGCCTACAGAAGCCTAAAATAATCTTTTCTAATTTCCTTTTTTTCTTAAGTACTCTAACTACAACCAGAATAAATTAAAACAGCCCACAGCAATACATTTACTAATAAACCATTGATAGATTGATGTATGTTAATAGAGATCCTTCCCTTGATGATGTAATTATTTGAATAGCTACATAGCTTTTTTACTTACAAAAAGCTACAGGGCATATTGTGATAGTAATTTCCTTTGCTTTGTTTTGGATGTTTAGAAGTGATACAAATCCCTTCCAAATATCCTGACGGCCTCATACAGTGGGGAATAAGAAGTCTAAATAGCAAATGAGCACAAACATGTAATGGAACAAATACTCTTATGAAAACGAAACTACAAAGAGAAAACGGCCTTTGGAAAGAAAGTTGCCCTTCTGCCAAGTACTTTGGCAAAAATGCAATAGCAAATGCCCCAAGTTAATTTGGAGAGTTTAGTTTCAGTGAATTCCCACCGTGCAAAGCATTCAAGCAGGCAAAACATTACTGTCTGAAAAGAAACAGGGAGGCTTACTTCTCAGAACCATAGTTCTCCATGGATAATAAATTGTTCTCAGACCCAAAGGAACTTAAAATGTTTCCTTCTTCACTAGCACGTGTCTACACTTCCTTACTGATCATCACATGCTGTAGCAGTTTCTGGTTCCTTGCAACTGTTCAGCACTTTTGTCAAAACAAGCAGCAATAACCTGAAGTGACAATGACAACCAACAGACAGAGGTAACTCCATCATTCTATCTCCACAAATCTGTACAATATCAAACATTGGCTATTCTGTTTTGATGGAACATTTGCAAGTATCAGTATTTAAACTCACATCAGCATATGAAACTTAMTGCATTTGTATGAACATTTTTTGCAACACATCTCTTTTAATACCCAGGCTCACCTCTTCAAATTTCCTTTCATCTTCCCAAAGATTAAGAGTTATTTTAAATATTTTCTTGCTAGCAATTATCTCGTATTCATAGTCCCTCAGTTTGATTATTTTTCTTCTAATTACCAAAACATCTGCAAATTCACACACTAGCTTTAACCATTTTCTTTTACGATTTCTTTTCTTTAACCATTTTAACCATTTTCTTCCATCATAAGACACTACTGTTCTTGTGTCCTGTGTCAACCTGCTCAGGATCATTGGTGAAACTCTCATTTCTTTTCCAAAATAGTAGTCAGTTTCTAGTATTTTCAACTAATCTCTTATTCTGCAAGCTGAACATCTATTACTCCTTTGGAACCATTTCCTCATTTCTACCTCAAAAGARTTAGCAAAACTATTCAGCTGACCACTTTATCACAGATTTTCAATGGCTCAATTCGTCATTAAAGGTGAAAGATGCATTAGTGCATAATATTTACAGACAACACTTAAAACATTTCTTCTATCTTTCAGCACTAGCTGAAAACTCAGACTTCTCACTTCCCAATCCTTCCCATATCCAGCCCCATATTACTCACCAGCATTGCATAAACATGCTATTGTTCTTTTCTTGCCTAGTTCCTGATCTCACATTCCGGCTAATTCTCTAGCACAAAAATAGGATTAAATTAATTAAGATTTCCTACTATTCTTTTTTTTCTTTCTTTAATTATCTTGTTGGAAATGCCACACCCTGCATAGACAGAAATATGAAAAAATCTATGAGATATTGAAACTAAAAAAGTTTATAGAAGGAAAAAAGATACAAATTCTTTTATCTGTGAAATAAAATACAAGAGGATTTTAAAACTAATTCTTTTGACATCTTCGGGCCAAGCAGTATAGGCTCTCAACACAACACGTCTCAAATTGAAAAAAATAGCATTTAGATGTTACTCTAAGGTAAATACTTCTGGTTATTGATTCGTCAAAATACTGAAATATATATATATATATATATATATATATAAACAGTAGCAATTAGTTTCAGTTAATGGTACAATTCAATTTTCATATATGCCTAGTTGCTTTGCTAAAGGAGTCCTTACTAGCACAATATGTGAAGTGTACCTGATGGTGTAAAAACATTAAACCAGATGTTAAATGTAGATGTTAAAAATTAACCATGGCTCATAGGCTTTATATAAAAGAATTTTAACAAACATAATATTAACCACATCTTACTAGTTCTGAATATACATTTTGAACATACATACTTGGACAACAACTATATGTGGAATCACCCAGGGAAAAGCGAGGAAGTGGAAATCCTGCCCTTCCAATCCCTACTTTATCAGTTTAACTATATAAAAACTGGAGTCATGAATACTGGAAAGTTGAATGTTTGGGAGCATGAAGACACGATCCTGCATTTCCCATATTTTGCAGTGTTCCACAGGCAACTGTACTGCTCCAAATATCTCCTGCTCCTATGCTTTCTCAGAGAAAATCTAATCTTTCTTAGATGTCTCTTAGACGGTCCCATCTTTATTTACTCTTGGAAAATAAACATTTTYGTATTTACCGCAATACAACAAACAAATTACAACTGAGCAGAAAGAAAAGAAATAGACACCTGCCTTCATCCGAGTCCCACAGAGAGTGGAGCAGGCACAAGGAGCTAAGGCTCTTTACTGGGGCTGGTTCCACCGGACTGGATGTTCTAGTCTTCAGACCTCATCTGTGCTGGGGCAAAACTGCTTTTCAGTATTCCTGATCACAATAGAAATACTGCAGTTTAAGTCTCCGTAACTGCTCAAAGAAAACATGGAAAGAATAGAAGTGGAAAGGAATGGACCCACAGGTGAGAAGCAAGGGGGAAGGCGCATCCGTGCCCCACAGGGAGCCCTGGCAGGGAGGCTGCTGCCCACGGGAAGGTGCCTCCCTGGCCGCGAGGAGCTGCTGAGCCTGCAGCCCACCCCACTGCTGCAAGGTGCTGGGCAGACAGCCCGGAGCCGCTTCCATATAAGCCACTCTTGCAGCCAACAAAACTAAGAGTTTTAACAGGAGACAAAAACAAGGACATGGGGCTTTCCCTAAGTTGTCTATCTGCAAATGCGGTGGCAGGCTTGAAGTCTGCATCTAAAATGGGGGAAGAAGAAGAAAGTCGGTCCTTCAATCTCAACTCTTTCTTTTTTTCTGACTTGCCTTCGTCCATGGGTGGCTTGGAAGACACTGTAGCTCAGCTACTGCAATAATTAAAGTTATCTGTGAAATTGTGGTGCAGGGTTGTCAATTTATCAGGTAACCTGCAATACAATAAAATAAAAAGTGTGATGAATATTGAAAGGGTTAAAATAAGAAATTTTAACTCACCTGGCACCTTCCAAGAAAACTAATCTGATGAATTTATCAGAAAAACTTTTTTAGGAAAAGAGTAATTTTAAGGGGTTCTTGTTGTATAAATGCACTTATAATAAATTTCTGAAATGAGTAGTTCCAGTCCTCARTAAGCAACTTTTACAAAATTTGAAATTAATTTTTACTACTTTTTTTAAACCATTCTCCCATGTTTAAGGGGTCTCAGCTTCTGCTTTATTCAGTTCACCTATAACACTAAACCCCCAAAATAATCATGCTGGATTTCTTGCTGAGTGCACTCATTTTAGGACAGTTGCTGCAATCYATAATTAGTACCTTACTTAGCATCAGCACTTTCTTGCAAACAAAAACAAAGTTGACAGTTATTTTTAAAAATTTGCTGCATCATACATTTAAAAAATACAAATAATGCCAGCAAATACGGAGGTGCTCTACCTAATACGGACAGTGTTAAGGAAATAGAAGTCAGATGTAACAAGCAGATCTTCCCATCACCAATAGCTACAAATTGGACCTGCTGTTGTTTATTTAAAACATAGGGAAAAGTCTGCTTCCTGACACTATATGTGCATTTTGCCCCTATACAACATGATCCTTGACTTACAAGAGACATAAGAGAACTTTTGGCTCCCATTCAGTTAAGCCATTATAGACTGAATCTGTAGAAGGTTCAACCAACATCCAGGTTGCTTTAAATGGATTTGACACATCATCAGAAAAAAAGAAAATTGGAGTTTCCTTGAATTCTAAGGGGAAAGTACTTGAATTACAAAAAAARAACAGAACAGAAGTACTGCTAGGTCACATAGCATTCTGTAGACAGTCCTTCTTGCTGCTGAGGCAGCACAAAGTAAAAGTTACAGTTATGCAATTACTGTATCAGCACTATCATATTTGTCAGTGCTTTGGAAGGCTGAATCCTGCAGTCAATTCTCAGGAGCAAGACACTGCACAGTAGAGTCCCTATAAAGGGCTCATTCATCTTTTCCATAGGGTTAAAATGGGATCCCCAGTTAAACGCTGGTGTTCAATAAAGCAGCAGAGATTCATGCTTAATGAAGCAGGAGCTTCCTGATCTCTCATGTTAGCAGAAGTTGGAAGGATGGTGCGACTCACTGGCTGCTTGTTTTTTTGTGCTGTCCTTGGCAGGTTCTGTCTTCAGTGCACATGTTTGGAGATCAGCAAGTAGGTGGTTTTTTTAAAGATGTTAATGGGAACTAGAGTTTCTCACCTGCTGTTGATAGAAGGAAAAGATTATGAAATTTGTTTATTCTAAATTTTCTTTCTAACTCCCTTTAGGTAGTAGTTTTGGTCATGGCTAGGGCTCTTAATGTTTTCTATCTCTTGGAAAGCATTATTTTTCCCATTTAGACCTGAAATATGCCATCCTAATGTACTAAGCACAGCAACCTGAAAAGGACACATGAATCATCAAATCCACAATAAAGCAGGAGCTGATAAATTCAAATAAATTCATCTTAAAATGGTAGCAAGATCTCAAAAATAATCACTGAGAGATTACTATTACTGTTCTTCTTTTTAACAAAGTGCCATATTAAAAGCAACCAGTGTCTTCCTCTGGGCTGTGCCCAGCTCCTRGCACCTGATTGYTCTGACATCTGGTTCTTCCTATTTCCAATCCCGTGGCCAATACCACAGACCTACTTCTCTGCCAACTTGGTATGAATCTTTCTTTTCCTTCCACTATGCCTTCCGATTACAGTAATTCCTTCTCTTCTCTCCTCTCTTGCAGGCCCTTTGATAATCGTCCCAGTTCCTTGCCAGCAATTCAATCCTCAATGAATACATCTATTATCTCATTTTCACTTTCAAAGAGGCAAATTCTTCTCCTGTTCCTATGACTCCATTTTCTCATGTTCCTGCTCAGCTGTCTCTCTTCCAGCTGCCTGTCCCTTATCATTGTCCTTGTAATATTGCAGTTCTAATTCCCCGAGTTGAGCATTACAATTCCATAATTACTTTAAGCTTTTCATTTTATCTTGATAGACCTTCTCTTTAAGTTGTCCTGAAGCTCCTCAAAAACCTCTCAAACTGTGACTAATTTCCAAACATTTTTAGCCTTTCCAAGTTTGTTACATCGTTGTCCACRCACTGACATCAATGAAATACTGAATTCCAAAGGACAAGTATGATATGTCATGGCTACCTTCTGCCATGATAAAATACTGCAAGATCAATCATTTATTACATCTGTTTTTTAACACTTACCTTGTTTGCATAACAATACCTTACCTTTAAATGAACAACTGCTGAATTCCTTTAAAAAGAACTTCCTATGGAAAAAGACATTAGTTAGAGATATTTTTATTTGTTCTGCTTTTAAATAACTCATATTCTTATAAAGAATTCTTAACCTTACATTATCTCCTTGTACTGTTARTACTTACTGTAGGTCAGGTAAGGTTTTGCCACTTAAGCAGCCAAGCTTTATGTGGCCCTACATTTCTAGTGAAAATTATATTAACATATATATTTTTGCTTTTATATTGAATAAAAATACAAAGAGTTACAAAGAATTATACGTGTTTGTGGAGTTAAAATTAGTTTAACTTAGTAAAAAATAGAGATTAGAAAAGTCAACAGATGGCAGTTAAATCTATATAAAGATAGTTCAATGAGTGTCCTGTAGTAAAAAAAAAATCAGATATTTAATGGTTCAAAATTTATACTCTAGCAATAAAAGAAGGTCTATCTCCATCCTTAAAGGATGATCAAAGAAAAGTTTCATGAGAGGATTAGTGTGGATTTCTTCCCCTCTAGCTTTCCAGCACTGAATAGCCTTTTAAGATGAATCTGCTGGTTTCTTTTAACTTCATAGATGTCCTGTTTAGCTTATCTACTTTTAAATATAAACATATCCGAGTACCAGCATCAGAGTGCATGCTTAAAAACACAAATATATGTAATTACCTCAAAGTTTTTTGAGGTAATGATGCCTAATCTATTTTTCAGTTATCGGCACAGGCAATCTTAGAGGCATTTTACATCTCTCTGCTTTCATATCCGTATGCTTAAATCTAATCTTGTTTCCTAAAGAATTTGTCATTAGTGTTAAAAAACAAAAGTTAAACGATTGTGTCAGTGGAAAGTTTGCTCTCTCTTAATCCCACTTCAAGAGTTCTGCCCATTTGTGCTGATACCTATTAAATTTCGGGGGCTTTTTAAGACCAGATAACTTTTAAAGCTTTTACCTGATCTCTMTGGAGCACAGTGCCATCTAGCTTCTCTTTTTGTGACTTCACATAGTTTGCATTGAACATAACTTGGTGGCATGACAGCAGAAATAGTCCCGAGAAGCTATTGCAATGGATATTACAATACTGGATATTACTACCA